AACTAAGGAAGAATCACCAACTGTGCGTGCATTATGGAAATGTATCATTCATGCCTACTCATAACAACTTGGCAAATTAGAAGTGAAAATATGGAATTTAAACAGGCTTTGAGTTGGTCAGCGGAACATCTGCAAATGAGAACTATATTTACGAAAATGCCCAACCCGCTCGTTTTTGAGATTTACTACCGACGTGAGTTGATTTCACTTACAAAGAGCTCTTTCTGTCTGTGCACCATATCTGTACTCAAAGTCGGCCTCCTTGTTATGAGCTAAGTTACATAGTCTTCAAATCTTTGCCCTTTTAATAAAAGATCTTTGTATCAACATATAAAGTGCAACTTTTTATAGTCAGCCAAACGTGCTTTTCCTGCCTTTTTTCGTCTCAATTTCGATTCTAAAAATGAAGATAATTGATGAAGATATGCTACGCAGCACTGGCTTGATACAGCGGAAGGCCACCGCGAGTCATTGTAAAGGCCAGATGTGAATTCAATCACCTCAAGCGAAGCTAAAAATTGAAGACGAATGCATGGCGCCTTCTTCAAGAACTGATCAACGCCAAGGGCTTTGTTCTTCATATTTTGTCTATAAGAACACTCCAAAGCTCCCGAAAGGCGTTATTGATGGTGACGATTGCGACTGTTCCATTTGAACATCCTAAATGTGAATATCGTTTCTACTCCTTTGGGAGCTTCTAACTCTAAACAATTATTTTCACTGCTTTTTTCGCAGTATTATTATGTTACTTACATGACTAAGAGATTGAGTGGTGAACAAAAACACGGCCTCAGGCGGGAATCGAACCCACGTTTCATCCTGCGTGCTCTACCACTACACCACTGAGGCACATTTGCCCGACCACTCATTCTTCAACATCTCAATGTTAGCTATCAGCCACCAACCTTTGACAGGTTTGGTCGGGTATGCGATTTCGCTTTATAAACCCAGTTGAGCTGATAGCTATTCTAATTACTAATACTTCGAAATTATAGTATTTTCACTGCTTTTTTCGCAGTATTATTATGTAACTTACATGACTAAGAGATTGAGTCACTCAATCTCTTAGTCTAAACAATTCTAAAATCAAAATAATAGTTTGAAAACACCATGTTATTTTTTAACAGAGTAAACCCGTCATGTTTCCAACTTCGTGTTCCTGCTTTCGAAAAAGTAAGAGCAATTTACGAGGAAGTAATTTTGAGCAATAAATGTTGACTACTGAATAATTTCGAAGATAGTAATGCGATCCTCAGATTTCTGAAGCAGAACCTTTCTTAGATCTTGTAATAGATTAGCTGCGTGAAGTCGACTCTTTTGATTTGTCTTAGAAGTGAGTGTAAGTGTAAGATCTTCTCATAAGTTTTGGCACTAGAACTCAAAAACTGCTCCGTCGTCATCTTAACGCTCCCATTCCTGGCCACAATCATCACCGTCGACGAAAAGTGAATTTCTTTAGAAGAACCAACGTAATCCGAATGAATCGTTGTCACCAGGCCAACGAGGAACTCCAACTCCACGTCGAAATCGATTTGTGCCAGAAGCTATGCTCATCATCTTTTGGAACCGGATCGGGCCGATTCACTGGGACTTGCTTCCAGCAGGAGAGATGAAAAGCGCCAAGCGCTACTCTGATCACCTGGATCGCTTCGATCAGGCCCTATCACATTAACTTCACCGCAATCTCTGCTGCTTCTAGACAACACAAGGCTGCATGTCGCCGAAATGGCAAAGAGGAAGTTGATCGGACTGGGTTGCGAGTTTTTGGATCATCCGTCGTACAGACCTAACTTGTCGCCGTCTGACTGTCAGCTCTTTCGGTCGCTGAAGCACTTCTTAAGCAAGAAAACGTCCCGAGGCATCAGTCATTTCTGTCAAGGATTAACAACTTTCTTTGTATCCAAGGATGACGAGTTTTATGTGCACAGTATTGATTTGTTGCCTGAGCGATGGCAAAAGTGGGTTCAGGCTGACGGCGCATACTTTGAATAGTATTGTCAAACAATTTCAATTACTTCTAAATAATGAATTTGTTATTTATTGATCTAGTGCCTTAACTTCTGAGAAGACCTGACATTCAGCCGTAGAACCTGTTTTTGAAACAGATCAACATTAACGATCTGTCCCATCCCATCAGTTAAAATCTAAAAAAATTTGGTGCCGTTCTTTATCAAAAACTTGGCATGGGAATATGGTAGTAATAAATGATGTGTTAGAGTGGCATGACTAGTATTACACATTGTGCGGCTGATATTGCAATGATGACAGCAGCGACCAGCTAGGACTTTATTTGTTCTCTTTCCTTGTCGAAATTTCTCTGTGTGTTCTGCTTGATTAGCCCTTTCACGACAACGGCATGGCGCTCATCGTATTGGAATCAGTATCTGTCTTGTAATCTCAGATCTAACGCGGGGAACTACTTTCTTGACATCTTAATTCTGTTTTCTTTTGTCCATAAATTGAGAAAGAGCTTCAAAAATGCGGTTTTGAAAAGCCGGTTTGAATAAGCGTGTATACCGGAATTGGAACTCATTGTAGTCATAGGGTTAGGGGCACAAAAAGTTTCAGGCTTTTTGACTAGAGTCTCTACGGAGATGCTGCGCATTGTATCACTCCTCCTTTTTGTGTGCTCATGTTTTACCTGAGCCTACTATCTGAAGCTTTGTGCGCACGACATACACTAACGACGTTTGTTTTTGTGTTCGTCGCTACGTCTTTGATGCCTTAAAGGTCTTCATGAGGCTCACTTCCTCAAATCACCAACTAATTCATTCAGCTGACTTCCTGATCAGATCTAGTAAGCGTAGTCAAAACATCTGAAAATGATGCCATCGCTTAGCGTAAATGAGATCTCAAAAGCGATTCCGTTTCTCATAAACATCACTTCTTGAGAAATAAATTTAATAACAATATTCTGATATGTATTATTGAAATCTAGCAGCTTTCTTCTCATTCTGTGTAGTGTTTACCAAAGTGTAGATTATATGCTGTTGATGAAACCAAATCCACTTAACTTTGGAAGTAACAGTATTTCTAATGACGCGCTTGAACCATTCGTCTTTAAGGCGATTATGTCGGAGAAGCACCAGCTTCAAGGAATTTTCCAAGCCGGTGTATAATCTTCAACAAAATAAAAGATCTCGTGTTAAATTCAGTGATCCAGTCATCGCTTAAATGTGTCAGAGAGAACTGAAAAAAGAACGGAATTCTGGACAAAAATCTTCAGCGCCTTTCATTCATAAAAGTTTATAAACTTGCTGCCCATTTTCTGGAAATTGAACACTCAAGAGCGAAAGAAGAGGTTAATGAATAGTCAAGTACATGTAATAGAACATGCGTGCTTAGTTCATTTTTATGGCAATTTGCACATTTAATTGCCTTTCCTTACAAAAATTTTCGGCGAGAATTCCAAAATATGGAGGAAATGTGGGAAGAAACGTATTAGAGACTTACTGCATAGAAATCCGCAAACAGCATAATCAAAGTAACTTTTATCGAATTCCAAACTATTGACTTCATATAAGTAAGGCAGACTGAAATTACCACATAGAGAATTCACAGTCGAGTTTCAAGAAAAGGTAGAGCAGTAGTTATTTTTGAGACTAGAAAAGATTTGATAACAACGACCTGGTTCGATCTCCTTCTCCAAAACTCTTGCAATGAATCAAGCGAGTGCTCAAGAACACCTTAGTTTAGTTGCCTACACTATTGCAAGGAGAATCATTTCGACCACATTTTTAAGTTTTCGGAACTGAGAAAATATCCTCAAGCAGCACCCAAAACAACACGTGAGTTGTTCGGAGGCTTTTGTGGAGAGCGAATTTGTGGAAACGAATAAAATGCGAGAAGCGCAGGTATTCGTACAGTAAAATTGTAAAAACGGATTATGTAGGCGAAAATTAATGCCAAGGTCATAAGAAAGTCGGGTTTTAAAGTGTTTTGCGCTTCGTGGTAGCTGATAATGATGCCGACTGCTTCTTTATACCGTAAATACAAAAGTGGTATTATGATAATGCATTTTTGTGTAAGGTTGTCGACATCGTTGATGGTAAAAATAACCATTTTACCATCCAGGGTTACCATTTTTGGCATTCGAGTCAGTGTTATAAAGGATATAAAGCCTCGACGTTGGCCAATCTTTGAAGAGTATATTCTGGCCTAAACAATGACCTGCGGTGGTTTACCTGATGTATCAAGCCACTGCTGCTATCTTGCCAAATTAGTCTGGTTTTACTTTGCGCACCTTGCAGTAATAAGAGGTTCAATTACCCTGTGATTTGAATTCGAACCGCTCATCTCCCGTACATCTATTGCAATGTACCTCTTCTATTTACTGGGCTGCAGGCGTTGCGATTATTATGGTTTATGTGATACACATAAAAGGTATAGTACGTGATGGGAAGATGTACAGCCTACTTTGACAGGAATAATCTTCATAAAATTGCTTAGACTGGTGGACAGAATGCGAGACATTAGAGAATAGGCAAGTTAATGTTTCTCATCATTTTTTCCAAGTGGCGCGATTATTTGATTTCTCAGCTGTAATAATGATGATCGGCATTTGAGAGGAAGCGAATATAATAAGATTGCTCGTGCTCCGAGTCCGCAGGGCGTTCTGATTATTCAGTACCCATTCCGCTGTCGTGTGTCCAATTGTGATTCTTTAGCTTAAACCAAACCTAGCTCATTTTCTATAGAATCCGGAAATGGTGCAACGGTTCAGCACGCGCTTTCGAAAAGAGTGAAATCTGGAATCGAATCCCAGCTGGTGCAAACGTTTTTGCACACCACTCTACATCATTAGGCTTACGTAACATCATAAAATTACAATGGGCGGTCAAATAAAAATATTTCTGATTGATTATTGAATCTAGGAATTTCAATGATATCAATTAGTAAAAATCTGAATCTTTAGCTTGCGATCTTGCACGAGGAAGAATTAAGTGCCTTCAATGGATGTTTTGTATACCCAATAATGTGGATTGATGCGCAAATACATTTGCGTTAGCCCGGACTCGAACCCGGAACTCACTCTTTGTGGGAGCGTATGCTAATCGTTGCACCACCGACGCTGGTTTTGCACAACACTCTTTTTACGCTATTACGCGTTGTCTGTGAACAGCCAATCGTCGACGGTCTGGCGGGTAGGTCGCTATCGGCATTGAATCCACTTATGTTGACAGTGGGTGAACTCGCTTATGTTGAAAAGTGCTGTGCAAAACGAGAGTCGCTGGTGCAACGGTCAGCTCACGCTCCGATAAGAGTGAGATCTGGGTTCGAATCCTGGCTGAAGCACTGTTTTTGCACAGCATTCCGCATTATTGGATATACTGTAACACCGTACCACCGCAAGTGGCGATCAAATAAAGAGAATTCTGGATGTTTTGTATTTGATAGATAAAATCCAGTATTGGACAAAACAGACGAGACGAAATTTCATCGGTTCCATAGCTTTCCCATGGGAAACAGTAAAATCTAACCAGGTAAAATGTAGAGAAGAGCCTTTTGAGCGTTCCACAAAATCAAAATCTCTTAAAAGCTTCGACTCAACTAGCGTAGGTTTCTAGATTCCATGGCTTCTATTGTAGTTGATATAGCTCGATATGAGATGAGATAACCTGGTCTAAACTCGATAGTGCCAATTAATTTACGCATTTGAATCCTGAATAATTTATGAAGCTGTGACGATCTCAGGGCATAACTCTATTAACACCTATTCTTTTTCATACTATGCTGACATTTAACCTTGAAATAAAGTTCCGCCTTCAACAGCTTTTTATAGATACTTTACTAAAATCTAATCGTTACTCTTTTGCAAAGTATGCGATCTATGTGTACATTAGGTGCCTCAGAAAGCTCATTTGAATAAAGTTAGAATACTCGATGTTGAAGACAACGTTGTTTATGCTGTTCAAAAAAGATTCGTATATTCTGTACCACTTGAGTAATGAAGTGATGAAAACCGAGTAACCTGTGTTCGCCGTCGTAGCTACTATAACGACCCTAATTGGTTTATTTTCTCATTTTTCCTAAACTAAATCTAATCACGCTTTCAGTATGATGCCTATTCTTCATTTTTTTCGGCACGATATGTCCAAGAAGTTAGTCACTGAACTGCGTCGTGGCATATCTTGCACTTGTCTAAGCTTTCAAATGAAGACGTCGAACTGCTTTTTATTCTGCTGGTAAACAGTGTTTTCATCATGGCAGTTCGACGAAGGGGATTGAGTAGAATAATCAATTTGCCTATGTGGCAGATTACTGTTTCTTGCAAAAAAATTATTAGATCAATGCTCACATGTGCTTATACTAGTTTTTTGATGATGATGGCATCACTTAAAGAGTGGATCGATTGTGAACTTAGCTTCGAAACTCCAGATGAAAAGTGATTGTTTTACCTTCGTAGTCTACTGACCGCAGCACCACTGTATTTCATCTCGTCCACTTTGTTAGGAGTAAATCAGGTTTTAGTCTTGTTTTTTAGAGGTGAAGATGAAAGTTGGCAATACTTTTCTGTATTATTACTAGAATAATCCTATCACCGCGGTGGCCGTATGTCGTTGACACAATTCGTCGTAATTTTTTAATAATCGAGTACATTGTTGGCAAGCTTTTCTCTATGACAAATTATTGTAGCGACTATAGGAAGAAATTGCGCATTAAAAACTTATCTGCCTACTTCGTTACTTCGCCTGCTTGCGTCCAAAGGCTGGATTGAATCCAGCACATTTTGCTATCCTTTCTGCACGGCTTTCATTCTCTATGGCGGTGGCTTGTTGAAGCATGACGGAGGCGAGTCTCAAACCGTGACGTGGCAAAACATCGGCGAGCACGAGTACACCGATTGAGCAGCTAGTAACTAGTTGCCCAACGTGTTGGACACGCATCTTCGTAGTCCATTTTACAGCCTTTTTTTCCATCTGTCATCTTTTTTTTCATTATAAAACTTATAGGTCCTGAAAATAATATAGATTCCAAAGATCCAAGTTTTGCATTCCGGATACAGACTGTGTTTAATGAATATTTCTCGAGATATCCTTCACGCACTGTGAGTAGTGCGCCGTATAGTTGACGCGAAGAAGTTCAGCTCACGTGTAGTTCAACAGAGCGCTGGAAGCACTGTTGATATACATAAAGGTGGGCGGTAAGTTCTGAGCCCGTCATTTGATCGATGGTTTGTTTCAAGGACCCAAACGCGCCCATGCCGCTCTCCCTGTTTTATTCAGTTTCTTCCTTATGTTTCTCGCCATGTTTGATAGGCGCTCAAGGTGCACATATGATGTTGTTATGTGATCGGAGAAATAAATTTCGATTTGTCTTCCTACATACCATTAATTTTCAATGAGCTGGGTCTTCTTTTGTTTTAAGAGTGGTACGGCCTTTTTACCCTCTCCGTTGGACTCACTTAACATCATCTCTGCTTCGCTGGTGCTCCTTGAAAGGATAACGAAGTATGTAAATAAATAAGCAGTTACATTTTGAATGGAGTTGCTAGAGCATCGCAAATGGGCATGCACATTTAGACACAATAGGCGCACCCAAAAAACCGCCACGACCTACTGACTTTACTGTTATTGAATGTTTTCAGTGACTTTTGACGCAAGAGGCAAAATTATCAGCCCGGAAAACCCTCGAAAAACCTGCATAAATTTTAAGTGTCCAGGAATGTGCAGAGGTGTGTCCGAACATCATAAATTATGCAACACCTTGTGTAACAATTTGGAAGACCGATCTTCACTAAACCTCGGCATGAGTGAATATCTTACGAGAAAAGTTCCAACTTTTTCCACACCATGTCACAACAGCGGTGGCCTCTCCCATGTAACAAGCTTAGCAATTCTGAAGAAAGTGAGATTGCCAAAAACGCCGATCATCGATTTTCAAGGTAAACTTATCAACCTTGTGTAGTATTGTTTGATGGAAAAAGACAGTTCTTATGGTATGGCACCTTATCTCGACTATGTTCTAGTTGAAGTAAAGTCGTTATTCAAGTGTGTGACATCACACCGGCGACCTTTTCCATAGAAGTAATTAAACGGTAAATTTTTCTCGGCAGAAAATAATTGGGGTTGATTTTTGCGTCTTAGTACACGTATGAAATATCAATTGAGTAATTGAATGTGCTATGATGTGACAGTGCATTTTTTGAACCTTCCATGAGGACATTTATGGGCACTTATACAGTATGTGCCCATAAAAGACCTCATGAAAGGCTCAAAAAAATACATCGCCAGATTATATTGTTTTGAAGAAGATATGTTAGGGTATAGTAAGTCTTGGTTCTCAAAAAGGCGAAGTCATCGAGATTCTAGTCACCAATTTTGCGGAAAGTATATTGACCTTGAACATTTTTTTCGAAGGACAGTTCATAAAACTGTTATCAAAGCTTTGTGCATAGTGGAAATTCATATTATCTTTTTCAACAAGTGCCCAAATCTGTCAGTGTCTATGAAGTTGATCAACCTCAAAAACTGAGGTATAGGTTTGTTCTGCACCTTTTTCCATATTCTATTAGATATGAAGTAACGAACACGAGAGATTTAAACTGTCAATGCTTACAAAGCTAATTTAGCTTGTTACTGGTTTTGCCAGTCTGCTCTGACGAGCCAAATTTCGTTAGTTACTGCTTTGTTCAATAACGTATAAGTGACATCGTTGACGAGTTGAAATGCGGTAGATTGTTTAGTTCGTAAAAATTTTCGCAGTTTAGTAGAAGTGCTTAATGTGACAATTCTAGCTCATTCATACATTCAGTCAATATTGATGTTTTTAGGGTTTGATCCTTCATCGGGCAATCTTTACTGTGGAGAAGTACAATGTTATGAAAATTGCTTCTTCAAACTTGAAAGAATATATTCGATAATGTTGAGTGATGTGCAAAATTTGAACCTCTGGCGCAATTCGAACTCGTACTTCACCTTTACCGGGGAGCGTGCTTAACCAATTGCTTAACCGACGTCTGTTTCGCCATCACTCTTGCTGCGCTGTTTTTCTTCAATCTGTAAGCAACCAACAGTCAACGGTTTAGCCTGGTAGTCGATATCGGCACTGAACACAGTCACGTTGACATATATTGGATATATGTATAATTAAGAGGAATTCTTTTGCCTGATTGCTTTTAGCGGTGGTATGCCGTTGAAATAAATGTCCTAATGGAGACCAACCATGCAGAAATCACATGAACTGTGTATGCACCTTCTTCATCAAAACACCACTCTCATTCACTGTGTCACAACACGTTCTTTTCTGGATTGATGGTATTTATCCAAAACGTTTCAAAAATCTTACACGCCAAGGTCCTATATAACTGTGTAACCTGTTTTGCGTTACCGTGATTCTTTCTAAAAGTTATATGGGTGTTTTCGCCACCATTTCTTTCAAGCTATGGCACCTCTTCAGATTAGTTTATTCGTCTATAGAGCAGCTAGAAGCTTTTTTTTCCTTATTTGAAGAAGAAATTTTTCTAACAAGAACATCCCGAGGCTTTCAAAGCGTGAAAGATGAGTTATTGAATTAGAACGTGCCTGAGCTTCAGCGACTTTTCTCGATTACCATAGGAGTACACAGTGCATGCTCGTCGTGAAGTCCTATGAACTCGTTGTAATGTAACTGTCATGATGATTGAGATAATATGGTATGTAATATGGCCTTGAAAGATTCTATTTCAGTCGTCGTTGATATCACCTATAGTGAAAGCTCTATTTAACTCTTGTGAGTAATTTCGTTTTCTGTAAGAATACTTCTACATTTAATATTACCGCCCATTCGATATTTCTGAAATGCAATGTTTCAACTATTCTTTACCCTTCTGATGACTGAAAAGTGAATGCTTACTGTGACTTTTGGGAGTGCAATGAAATTCTCATATAACATTGTCTGTCACCTCCCTTTTATCTCATCTACTTGGTTTAAACTCAAAGGCATCTTTTCTTTGTTTCTCCGACAATTCCACGCCTGTAGTAAAGATCAAAAAAAAATCGCTATGATTACTTTACGATTGGATCAGTTTATTCTCAGTCGTATCTTTGTGGCTGAAAAGTTTAGTCTGAATGCTCTTTTGTTTAGGACGATG